GGAGCTCGGCGCGTCCGAGGTGGAGCAGGCGGAGGCGGTCTTCGAGCTCTGCCTCCTCCGCCTGCCGCAGCTGCCGCTCTGGCACCTCTTCCTCAAGTTTGTGCGCGAGCACAAGGTCGCGCAGCTCGAGCGGAGCGCGGCCCGCGCACAGCTGGTGCCGGCGCTGGAGCTGCTGCTCGAGGCGGTGGGTGCGGACCCGAGCGCGGGGCCGCTCTGGACCGAGTACGTCTCCCTCACCGCCGCCGCCGAGGCGGGCGCCGAGGCGGACGGCGCTCTCGTCTCTGCCGCCGAGCTGTCTGCGACGCGAAAGGCGTACCAGGCGGCACTCACCTCGTGCGCCGCGGGGCTGGACGGGCTGCTGCGCGAGTACGAGGCGTGGGAGACGCGCACCTCCGGCAGCCAGGCCAAGGCGATGATGCACGACACGCTCGAAAAGGCGGCCGCCGCCCGCAAGGCGTGCAGCGCAGCGAGTCGCTGCCGCTGCCCGGCGCCTCCTGGACGCGGCTTGGACGTCTCCTGGAGCCTCCCTGCAGGCGTCGCGCGAGCGGCTCGCGCTGTACGCGCCGCTGCGCGCCGCTGCCGCCGTGGCGCACGGGCATCCGCCCACTTGCGTGGAGATGCCGCGGCGTAAAGCACACCTCGATTCACCAGTCAACCCGTCGGCCACAGGCACTTTCCTCCCGGCGTGGCGACGCCGCGGCTGCTCGCCGCGTGGAGAAAGCTGTGGGCGTACGAGGCGTCCAACGCGCAGCGGCTTGACCCGCCCAAGCTCGCCGCCCGCATGCGTTTTGCGCTGGCGCAGGGCGCGGCGGCGCTGTGGCGGGTGCGAGCTGGTTCGGCGCCGACGGAGTGGGAGGAGCCTCCGCACCTTGTGAGCCGCTCCGGCTGCGAGTAGGCGCCGCAGCTGTGGCACGAGGCTGCGCGCTGGCTCGAGGGGGAGGGGAACGCGCCCGCTGCGCGCGAGGTGCTGCGCTCGCCACATCGCCACCCCCTCGCTGCTGCTGCCCTCCCCTCTGCCACTCCCTCACTGCTCGCCGCCCTCGCCGCCGCCGCCGCCTTCGCCGCCGCCGCCCTCACCGCCGCCGCCGCCGCGCGAGGTGTGGCGGCGAGGCCTCGCGGCGCTGCCTCGCGAGCCGCTGCTCTACCTTGGCCTCGCTGGCTCGCAAGCCTAGATGCGGAGCCAGAGGCGGG